GAGCAAGCTGGGGGAGGTGCAGAGAGAGAATCCCAAGAAGGCTCCGTGCTGCCAATGCAGAGCCCAACACCGGGCTCAAACCTATGAACCGTGAGATCACGACCTGAGTGGAGATCAAGAGTCGGGACGTTTAAGTGAGTCGCCAGGTGCCCCAAAGTCAGTCCCATTGAAAAAAAAAAGAAAGAAAGAAAGAAAGAAACCAGCGGAGCGCTGGGGCCCACCTGCCAACCGGGCCTCCATGTTCTGCAAGCCCTCCTTGAGTTGAGGATTGTTTGCTTCATGTTTTAAACCCTCTTCATAGGTTCTCTTGGCTTCTTCAAAGCGGTTTAAGAACTCAAGAGCTGCTGCTTTTCGTGAATAGCCCTTAAACCAACAAGAAGGGACACGCAACAAAATAACGGACACCTGGAAGCCCAGAAGGTGAGCGCCAAACAAGCCTTTCCCATTCCCGGGGGCAGCACGCGTACCCGTGGCAGGGCCGCAGGGAAAGCAGAGCGCCCAGACTGAAGGCCCGAATGCGGCCAAGTATCAAAGCCGCTCACCCGCCCCACCTCAATTCAGCTTATGGCCCAGCGCCATCCACTCCTTCGGGGGCATTTTCTCCCCCAGGAGCACCAAACACCACACCTGCCTTCACACCCGACGGTACCTCAGCTTTGACAAATGCCACGACTCTGAGGAACACACTCCAACACGGAGGGCGACAGAGGACAGAATACACTATTGTCGCCTGAGACAGGCACCCAGTCGCGGTGCAAGGGCCCACCATTTACAAACAGCACACCACGGAGGCGTTTCTGGGAAGTCCGAGGAGTCCCCCCCCCACCCCGTCGCTCACCTTGCCCCAGTCAGGCTTTAAGTCCACGGTTTTGCAGCCATCCTCATAGGCCTTCTGGTAGTCGCCTTTCTTGGCGTAGGCCGCCGAGCGATTGCTGTAGAGCACGTGGTTCTGGGGGTCTAACTTGATGGCCTCCGAGTAGCACTGTAAGGCATCGTCGATGTGGCCGGCACTCAGGGCCTTATTGCCCTTCTCTTTCAGCTCGTTTACCTGAGGGGAAAAAATGGAACCAATGTAGTTTCTTCCTGAACACCCTTGTTTGGTCCCCAGGTTTTTTACCACAATATGTTTTAACGTGTCCCTTATCTTTTTGAGAGAGAGAACGCGCATGCGCCAGCAGGAGAGGGATAAGAGGGGGACGGAGGACCCAAAGCAGGTTCCATGCTAACAGCAGTGAGCCGGACGTGGGGTCTGAACTCCCAGACTGCAGGATCATGACCTGAGCCGAAGTCGGACACGCAACCGACTGAGCCACCCGGGTGCTCCGGTCCCAGTTCTTTAAATGACACTCCTACTTTTCCTCAATTATCAACAAAAAAGTTACTTTACGAACCAAGAGAAAGAGATTGTAAGTGAATGCATTTACCATCTCCCACACCATTTGGGGGTGGGGGGAACCAGCAAGGAAAAGCTCAGCGACCAGGAAGAGCAGGCTGATCCCTGCTCTCTGCTGCTCACGGCTTCAGCGCAGATGAGTCGACATCGCGGCCCCTCTTCCAAAAGTCTCTACCTGGGGTTAATGAAGCCACTAGAACACGTTCACGAATTCATTTCGTGGAAAAATAAATTCATTTGCTGTCAGAATGTCAAGAAGCCCAAACGATGAACGGAACACAGGCCTAGTCACCCCTCCCAGAAGAGCCCTTTGCGAAGGGAGAAGCAGTGTGCACGTGCCCGAACACGTGGCCCAGCAGCCCACAGGTTGCAAGATGCTTCTCTGGGAGAAGATGCTTACCCACAACCAGAGAAGAATCCACTTCCATTCACAGATGTAGTAATATACCACTAGCTCTGGTGGTAGAGCTAACTCCCCCCAAATCAGTTTCTGCCACATTTATTTATTACTATAAAAGATACGCAAGAAAACAAAAAACTATTTGTGGTTTAATCCCCTACCCTCCCAAATTAAAGGGCTAATTAAAGTCCTAATTAAAGGGCTTCTCCTATACCAGGGATGCCCTACAAGAGAGGAAGGGCCATATACCAAATGCAAACACATTTGGGGAGATAAAGCAGATGGTTAAGTTACTGCACCACTCTGTCTGCAGGTCTATCATCTGGTCGTGACCCAGTGCATACTAACACAAGAAAGAAAGGTTAAAACAGATACTTTTGGAACCTCAGGGCAAGCCAATCCGGAACTTCCCTCCATCCACCAGAGATGTCAGAGAGACAGCCTTGAAAAAGAAAAAGTCCGACACACATGACCAAATCTAGCATAAAAATCTTAGAAACCAGGAAGGAGCCCCGAAAGCAAAAACTTAAACTCAACTAGTATCGAGCAGCAGCTGAGAACAGTGCCATGGCCATGACGTTCTCATCCATCCCACAGAGCACCCCGTTCCCCACTGAGTACTGACCAGCAGCGGGTCAGGAGATCAGGCCCGCAGGTGGTGACCAGCACTCTAAAAGGTCAAGGAGAACAGAAAACACCAGCACATGAGGCACGTCATGACAAATACCATTTTGGTAAATAAATGCGTTACACAGCTGTAGATCCATAGTGGGCCTTGGGCAAAAAGGGCATTACCCCGGGATTTATTTGAAAAGCACTCAGTTGGGAAAAAAAAAAAGATCTGCACAATCAAATCCCTCCAACTTGAATACTTCCTAAAACCGAAATCCAGCTCTCCAAGTTGAGAATGAAAACCAAAGGCAGAGGCGTCGCGTGTCCAATGGGCCCAGGACAGTGAGGTCCAGACACAGCCAGAGATAAACCCCAGGCTCCCTGCACGGTCACAGGTCTACTGTCCTGACTTCACCCATCTGCTTACCGTCTGGCTCTACACATGCCCTGTCTACAACTGCCGTGTGATTTTAAAAAGTTTTTCTCCTATTCTCTGATAACCAAGCGACAAATCTCTCTCTTAAATTTAAAAGTGATGGGTTTCTCATTCCAGAACACATTTTCTTGTCCATACTTTTTGCCTGTTTAATCCCAAATGCAGCTGTATTATCCCAAGGGAGCAAAAACTTTATTAAACCCTCCACTGCTACTTTCTTAAATTTAATTTACCAGAGGCTCCAGATGCAGGTAAAGCAGCAATGTCTATACCCGAGAAAGCACTAGGCTTCCTAGATCGCATCAGACACACTGAGCCCTTTTTGCTCCTAGTGAAATCGCTACACTTCGACTGACAATTTCCGACAGAATAAAATCTTTCCAGGCCTTTCACAACCTTCGGGCCAGCGGGATATAATGAGGCCAGCGGGATATAATGAAGCCACCGGAAGCAGAGAAGCAGCAATTACAAACCCCTAAAAACGATGAGCGGAGACAACTTACTTTCTTGCTGCTTCCCTACGTAGCCTAGATTTTTCTACAGCGACCGATTCCTCCTCGTGTAATCAGAAACCAACTTTGCAGAAATATCAGTCTTCAGTTACTCTCGAACCTCACACACACACACCCCAAAACAGAAAAAAGTGTGGGAGGGGCTGCACATCTCTCTGTAACACTGGTAGACCTGGACTCGTTCGAACGACTTTCGCCGAGCCGTCCCTTTCCCGCACCGGGCAAGCAAGTCCAACCTTCACTCCACTCTCCCATCCAGCCCTTTCCAGATGCAGAAAAGTAGGATTTGCCCCCACCTGGCGACTTCCAGGGAACTCCCGTCCCCGCTCCCAGCATTCCTCCAAGTTAACTGTGACCAAGTCTGGGTGGCTTCTCCGTCGACAATCCCCGCTCTCCCGGATGGTGCATTCCCCGGTGTGGACCCCGTCCCGCCCGCCGGTTCCGAAGCCGCTCCCCCACCCCCACCCCGGCCCCGTCCAGGGCCACCTCCCGGGAGGCCTCCGGGGCCCAGCCACGGCCTCTCTTCCCGCCGCGGCCCGACTTAGGGCCGAACTGTCGCCGTCCCTCGGTCCTCCTCGCCGAGTCGGCGAGAGACGGGCGCTGAGTAGGTCCCGGCGCCCCCCGCGGCCCGGGCCTGGCTACACTGCTCACCTCCTGCCCGGTGGGCCGCGGCCCTCACACCCTCGCCTCCCCAGCTGCTCGACCGGCCCCCGGCCGCCGCCCCGACCGCCTCGATGGGCGGGCGCCCGCCCCGCCCCGCTCCTCCACTCGCGGCCCGGGGTCGGCCTGTGTCCGAGCGGCCCCGGCGCCTCGGTCCGCCCCTCCCCCTTCACCTGCTCCATAGCCCGGCCCGGAACCCAGTTGAATCGACTCCGTCCGCTCCGCGTTCCCAACCGCACGCGCCGCCTTCTGGAACCTACTAGAAGCTGCCGGGACCCCCGGATCCCGCCCCTTCCTCGCCTGCTCACTGGTCGCGCTCCCCGAGGGGGCTTCCTATTCTTCCCTACTATTGGCTTAAAGTCTAGCCCATCATCTTTGCTTCTCTATCATTGGGCAGTTGGGAGTAATCCCTCAGCCCTGCCTCCTCCGCGCCTCCGGATTGGACTCTTCCCGACAAGCACCGCCCATCCCCGGCTCCACGATTGGAGGGAGGGGCGCCCTTCTGCGACAGGGATTGGTTGCTTGGTCCGCCAATCGTGGCCGCGCTGGCCGCGCCCATTGGTCCTGTTCTTTCTGGAAATTTCCACCTTTCCCATTGGGCTGACGGACTCGGTGAGAGAACCTCCTTCGGGTTGAAAAAAAGTCGATTGGGCGGAGAGTTGCCGACGCTTTGCGGTGATAGGCCTAAATGGCTACCCTTTGGAAGGCGGGATTTTGCCTCTGCAGTGGTTTATGGGAACGCAGGGACCCGGTCGCTCTTTACCGCGGTGGCTGTGGCGGCCGGGACTTCTGCGCGCAGCCTCCCGTCTTTGTGCAGTGCGAGTCCGGCCCAGACGGCCCGCTGCTCCCCAGCGACGCGGAGCTCCGGGGTCTCGGCCGGTGGGGGTGACGTCTGGGTCGACCTCGGGAGAGCTACGGGGTCGGGCCCAGATCCCGCTGTTCGTAGCCGAAGGGTCGAACGCACCGAAGGAGCTGGGGTTCGGGTGGGACGGCCGCGGGGTCTCCCCCTGCGGCGGCCGGGGGCTCGCTGGATCCCCTCGTGCTAACGGGTCTGGCCGTGCAGGGCCGTGGGAGGTGTCCCGTTCATGCAGTGACTTCTTGAGCACTTAGTGGAGGGAGCCATTATTCGGTCATCGGGGGGAGGGAACAAAGACGTGAGTGACGCGCTCAGTCACCTACTGGCGGGTGGTGGCGGCCCCGGGAGGAAGAGGGAAGCCCAAAGGGCTGAGAGCGTGGGGGAGAGACGCTGGCGTTTCCTCCTGGACAGGTGTGTGCTTCATGGAACAGAGAAGCCGCATGACAGGTGTGCAGAAGGCTTGGGGCCTGCCGTGTCCTTGGTTCCCCCCCACCCCGCCCCCAAAGCCATCCCCGCCCAGGGTTTTAAGTGGCCTTTCTCTGGCAATGGCTTGCCGTCCCAGCTTCCTCTTCCATCCCAGCCGTCTCTGGCCCATTCTTAACACTCCAGCCAAAGTCACTGCAGACCCACACCCCTTGCTCAAAACTCTTGCAGGGTTTTAGACGGGAGCGCGGGGCCTATACATAGCAGGCGTACTTGGGCCACCTCCTTTCCTGTCCCCGCCCCCCCCCCCCCCCCCCCCCGCATTTTCAGCACCAAACTCCAGCCCGCTGACATCGTTCAGTAGACTAGGGGGGCTCCTTCACTTCCGACCTGCCTGCAAACTTCCTCGTTCCACCCGCCGTGCCGGGTTCTTTCCGCCCCGCAGGCTGAGATGAGCTGGCCACGTTGGGTCACGGCCCGCCTCCAGCGAGCACACTCCTTTTTACCCACCGTCACTTGGCTCTCACCGCACTGTGGACCATACATGTGTCCAATCACAAACTAAACAAGCAACTTTGGTATCGTTGCCGCGTGCAATTCGTAAGGTCCACGGGGGCCCTGTGTCCTTTTACCTTCATCTTCCGGGTGCGTTGCACATAGTAGGTGCTTATTAATCTGTCAAATATCATTGAACGTGTCAGGTGCGATTGCGGGCGCTGGAGAAAGTGCAGTGGACAAAGCGGACAGACATCCCTGTTCTCGTGGCACTCATTCTAGCGAGGGAGACCCGCCTGAAAAGCTTCTAGGGTATATCTGCTTAAGTGCAGGGGAGAAACACAAAGCAGGGAATGGGTTAAGGAGTGTTGGGTAAAGGTGAGGGTTGTTACGTCTTTAATAAGCTGGCCAGGGCCCAGACCTCAGTGAGAAGGTAATATTTGAGCAAAGACCTGAGGAAGTAAGGGAGGGAGATGATGGAAAATCTGAGGCAGACCCTTGCAGTCCGAGGCAACAACACATGCAAAGGTCCTGGGGTGGAAGTTGTACTGAGGTGGCCAGAATGGGGGGAGCAGGGAGGAAGTGGGAGAGCTGGGCCAAGGGGAAGCAGGGGCCAGGTGGTGCAGGGTGAGAGGCCACTGTGTTCATGCCAGCACGTTTTGAACAGAAAAGTACGCGATCTGATGGATTGGGACTCCAATGGCTGCAGCGTAGGTGACCTCTTAGGAGACCATTGCTGCATCCCGGGAGAACGGTGGCGGTGCTGTGAGCCACAGCGGGAGCGGAGGAGGGCTGGGGAAAGTTGGAGTCCAAGTGCCAGGGCCTGTTCATGCACCGGACGCGGAGCACGAAGGAGGGAGGGGCTTCCCGGGCTTCTGGCCCCTCTTACTCATCTGCTAAAATACACCTGTCCGCAAGGCCTTTCACTGGTCCTTGGCGCTGTCTCCAGACCACTGCACTCTTGCTGATCCCACTGCTGCCTTCCCCCCCCCCCCCCAGCTGCTCTTCCACCATCTCCCACAGCCCTTCTCCAGGCTTCTTTCCCATTCCTCCCTCTGTATAGCCGGGTCTCTTCATCATGACATCATAGTCCTGTTACGCGCAGCACACGGCTCTGGATGCAGGGGGCTCAATAGTGGTCCCTACAGCTCACAGATGGTGGCTTCTGCTCCAGCGGGTCGTGTCTTCTAGTGGGAGAGGTAAATGATAGTTACACTCATCTGCGTGTGACTTCAAGCAGCCTGCTTAGCCTCTCTGTGTTTCCATTGCTTCTATTTTAAAATATGGGTCAAAAAGTTTTGTTTTTGAAAGAGAGAAAGAGCACATGTGAAGAGGGGAGAGGAGCAGAGGGAAAGAGAGAGAGAACACACATGTGAGCAGGGGAGAGGATCAGAGGGAAAGAGAGGGAGAGAGAGAATCTTAAAGCAGACTCCATGCTTAACGTGGAGCCTGACCCAGGGCTCAATCCCGTGATTCTGGGTTCGTGACTTTAACTGAAATCAAGAGTTGGATGCTTACCTGGGCACCCCGAAAAAGTTTCACTGTCAGAGTAGTTGTGAAGATTAAATTGTTTGATTTTTTTTTATTGTTATTATTTTGAGAGGTAATATGTGCATGCAAATGGGGTAGGCGCAGAGAGAGAGGGAGAGAGAATCTGACAGCGTGGAGTCTGATGCAGGGCTTGAACCCACAAACCAGGAGATTATGACCTGAGCTGAAATCAAGAGTCTGATGCTCAACCAGCTGAGCTACCCAGGTGCCCACATTGTTTGATATTTGCAAAGCACTTTGAAAACCGCCTCCCTGAAGAGTAAGCAGTGTATGCATTTGTTAAAAACAAATGCAGAAATGAAGTTAGCTAGAGTGATGAGTACTATTAAAAAAAAAAAAAAGAAAGAAAGCAAAAGATAAGGGATAGAGAGTAACCAGGGAGGCAGGGAAAGAAGGAGCTCTAGAGGCAGGTGGTGAGCGAAGGCCCGTGGGACCCTGGAGTGATGAGAAGCCAGCCAGGGACAGGGTTCCAGATACGACAACCGAAGGTGCAAAGGCCCTGAGGCTGAAACAAATTTGAAATTTCCAAGGAACCCAAAGAAGGCTTTTTCTATGCTCTAGTGTCCTTGCCTGTAAATAGGGATGATGAAGTGCCAAGGACTTCCCAAGGTTACTGTGAGGATGGGACAAAATAATCCATATCCAAGTCTTGTCAGATCCAAAACATAAAATCTTGAAAGCCGCCTTCGAGAAGAGACAAATACAAATTAGAAAGGCTGTGAATAGAGAACCCTAAAGCTTAAGCTTATCCAAGGTCACAGTAAAGTCACTCCTGGTTGTTAAAAAATGTTAGCTGTTATCATTTTCACCACCATGGGCGTCTTCAAACGTCTTTGTAGACTCAGAGCCTTCTGGAGTGGGATGGGGAGGCGGCCATGCAGTCCGCCTGCGTCCCCTTCCCCAGATTCCTGGAACACAAGCAGCACCGCCGCCGCAGAAGGTGTCCTGGCCCGTGCGTTACATGACAGTTCCCGAGTGATTCATGCTGCTATTCTGGTGCTTTCTGCTCTCCAGGGTGGGGAGCAACATGGCGAAGCCTGTCTTCGGAGTTGGTTCTGAGGTCGTAGATCCTGGAGCAAATGAAACACTGGAGTGAAGGTGTGTGACCAAATTCTCTGCAGGACAGCACCCCCCCACCCCAAATGTTATGGGTTAGGAAATGGTTGCAGCCCAGAACTTTCGGGGTCTGTGGGACGCGGAATTTTGTTTTGATAAGAACCTTTGCCTTTGGAGCGGGAATTGAAGACAGCCTGCTTCTGCAAGTGACAGCAAACTTCCATTCCGGGTTCTGAAAAATTTCTCAACTATATTTTCATTCCTGCTTAACTGAGCGATCCTAATTCCCGGCTGTCCTGCTAAGGTAGAATCTAAATCCTGATTGGCGGCGGGGGGGGGGGGGGCGCCACATTGCGTTCCATTCAGTGAACTTGTACACAGAGCCAGGCACGGTGCCAGATGCTTTAAGGAATAAAATGATGGTAATTATTATCTAATAATTATTCGTATGAGAGCCCCAGAGCCCAGCGCGGGACCTCACGACCCACGCTGCCTACCAGGGTAATCTCGGGCAGTCTCGCAGCTATAAATAGCATCTCCGATGACTCCCACGTTTCTATCTTCAGCCCGGATCTTGCTCCCAAGTTCCAGACTGATCTACCCCGCTGTCTCTTTAATGTCTCCACTTGGGTGGTTAGTGGCTTCCCAATGGGTTCAAATCGGAGCTCCCAATATTCTCCCCCCCTCAAATCGTTCCTCCCTTGACTTCCTTCCCATCAGTGTCCTCCTTATTCTCAGACTGGTTCTGGCTGAAAACTTCGGAGGTGTCCTTCACCCCTGTCTTCCACAACCACGTCCGGTCTGTCGGCAAACTCCGTCAGCTGGACATAGACCCACAGACTGTCCAGCCATCTTCTAGCTTCGGCCGGTTGGTAGATGAGCAGTCAGAGGGGGACAGCTTTGCAGGATGCCGTGTGAGAGGGCTGGTGCCCACAGGCCACACGCCATGAGCGGCGCACGGTGGGGTTGGAGGGCGGGAGGAGACCGTCTTCGTATTCAGGGGACCACCCGGTGAGCCCAGTGAGGACAGTGACAACAGTCACGGTAGTGGACCGGAGCTCATCCTGAGGCTTAGGGCGCCGCACACCCTCCCCCGCATCTGAGACCACCTGGATGAGAACCCTCGCTGTAACTCGGGTGATACTTCCTCACAGCTGGGTAGGGAGGGGGCCTGGAGTCAGGATGAGTTGGTCCCAAGTTTCTGGCTCTCAGCCTGGCTGATTTTGCCCCCAGAGGACATTTGGCAATATCTGGAGACATTAACATTTTTTTTTAAGTTCATTTTCAGAGAGAGCGTGTGCAAGCAGGGGAGGGGCAGAGAGAGAGGAGGAGAAAGGGAATCCCAAGCAGGCTCCGTGCTGTCAGCGCAGAGCCCAACACGGCTTGAACTCATGAACCGTGAGATCATGACCTGAACTGAAATCAAGAGTCAGGCGCTTAACCCACTGAGCCACCCAGGTGCCCCTGGAGACATCTGTGATTGTCACAACTTGGAGGCCAGGAATGCCGCTGACATCCTACAGGGCCCAGGCCAGCTTCCTGCAATTCCGTGATCCCAAGTGAACTAAAGCTGCGAAACCCTTACCTAAGGAAATGCAAGGCATCGTATTTCATTTTTTTTTTTATGTCTTTATTTTATTTTGAGAGAGACAGAGAGGGCAAGCAGGGGAGGGTCAGAGAGAGAGGGAGACACAGAACCCGAAGCAGGCTCCAGGCTCTGAGCTGTCAGCACAGGGCCCAACATGAGGCTTGAACTCACGAACCGTGAGATGATGACCTGAGCCAAAGTCGGACGCTTAACTGACTGAGCCATCCAGGTGTCCCAAGACCTCATACTTCTTGCACAACTGAGCTTGGTTGAAACTTGAGAGTGAAGCTTGCCACACGACAAGCAGATTTAAATTGATTAGAGTGCGGGGCGCCTGGGTGGCTCAGTCAGTTAGGTGTCCGGCTTTGGCTCAGGTCATGATCTCGCAGTTTGTGGGTTCGAGCCCCACTTGCACTCTGTCTCTCTGTCTCTTGAACATAACTATAAATTTAAAAAAATTTTTTTAATTAAGAAAAATAAAAATAAAAATAAATTGATCAGGGCGTGGGGCGCCTGGGTGGCTCAGTGGGTTAAGCATCCAACCCTTGATTTCTTTTTTTTTAATGTTTTTTTTTTTTAATTTTTTTTAAATGTTTTATTTATTTCTAGGAGAGAGAGAAAGAGTGCGAGCAGGGGAGGGTCAGAGAGAGAGGGAGACACAAAATCTGAAACAGGCTCCAGGCTCTGAGCTAGCCGTCAGTGCTGAGCCCGACGTGGGGCTCGAACCCACGAACCGTGAGATCATGACCTGAGCTGAAGTCAGACACTCAACCATCTGAGCCACCCGGGCACCCCCAACCCTTGATTTCAACTCATGTCATGATCTCATGGTTCCTGAGTTCGAGCCCCACATTGGGCTCTGCGGTGATGGTGCAGAGCCTGCTTTGGATTCTTGCTCTCTCTCTCTGCCCCTCCCCTGCTTGCTCTCTTTCTCTCTCAAAAAATCAATCAATTAATAATAAGTTGATCAGGGCACATAATATGACAGGCCATACTAAGGTAAGGCTGTCAAGGAGCCTGGGAGTCTGGGAGATGAAGGTGGTGCAAATTCAAGACCTCCCTTGAAAGGAGGTCTACGTCCCCTTGAATTTGGTGGCTTTTGCGATTACTTTGACCAATAGAATATACTAGGAGTGTCACTGTGCCAGTTTCCAAGCCTTGTAAAACTGGCAGCTTCCTCTTCTGGTCTTTTGAGACGCTCCCTCTTTGAGCCCTGTGCTGCCCTGTCAGAAGCCGGACTGTCCCCAAGGCTGCCATGGTTGACTGGCTAAGGGACCCCAGGCTAGCCACGTGGAGAGCCCTAGCTGGTTAGCCATCCCAGCCAAGGTTTGAGACGGAAGCCATATGGGATCCTCTAGCCCAGCCTCAGCTCCTGCTGAATACCACGGAGCCACCCCAGCGAGGCCACCCGGAACAGAAGAATCGCTGAGCTGAGCCCTAACCCACAAATCATGAGATTTAATCAAATGGCTGTTGTTTTCAGCCATCAAAACAAGGTAGCTTAAGGCAGTTTGCCACATGACAATTTGTCACCAGAAGTGTCACCTCCAATGGCTGTTCCTGTCCTTTCCACTTTCCTGCTGATGCTAGAATCCTGCTGATACAGAGCTGTGCCTGTTTCATCCACCTCCCTCCAGCTCTGTACTAACTGCTTGTCCAAGGGCCATTGTCCCTAAGGCTGCCAAGAGACACCCTTTAAAAATCAGCTGGTCCAGGGGCGCCTGGGTGGCTCAGTTGGTGAGGCCTCCGACTTCGGCTCAGGTTGTGATCTCACGGCTCGGGTGTTCCAGCCTTGTGCTTGGGAGTTCGAGTCCAGCGTCGGGCTCTGTGCTGACAGCTCAGAGCCTGGAGCTGCCTTCAGATTCTGTGTCTCCTTCTCTCTCTCTGCCCCTTCCCAGCTCATGCTCTCTCTCTCTCTCAAAAATAAATAAACATAAAACTTTTTTTAAATAAAAAAATCAGCTGGGGGCGCCTGGGTGGCTTAGTCTGTTGGGCATCTGACTTCGGATCAGGTCATGATCTCATGGTTTGTGGGTTCGAGCCCCGCGTCAGGCTCTGTACTGACAGCTCAGAGCCTGGAGCCTGTTTCAGACTCTGTGTCTCCCTCTCTCCCTGACCCTCCCCTGCTCACGCTCTCTCTCTCTCTCTTTCTCTCTCTCAGAAATAAATAAAACATTAAAAAAAAAAAATCAGCTGCTCTGCAACCTTGACCAGCACCGTCCAGAGGTGTCCCGGCGCGTGGAATCCATGTCCCACGTGGCACCCGCTCCTGCCTCCCTCGCTGCTCCTCCCCTTTCCCTCCACTCGCTTCAGCCTCTCTGGCCGTTCTCTGCTCTTTGCACTCACTGTCTCTCGGCCGCTCCAAGCGCTGCCTGAAGTGACCTGTGCTTGCTGACTTGTTTACTGTGTGTCTCCTGCACCAGACGTTGCTTCCACGAGGGCAGGGCCGGTGACCTGTTCACTGTTGGGTGCCGCCGGGGCCTGGGACGTGGTGCACGCTTGTAAGCATGTGGCAAATGAGCCAATGAACCCTGTCACCCTTCGGCTCCCACTGTGGATCCCTCGACCTCTCCCAGAGGGGCTCTCTGATGTTCTTCCCCTGGACTTCCTCACTCCCCATTCTCCTCACCCTTCTCTGGACCAAATGCTTGGGTCCCTGCAGAGCCAAATGTCACAACCTCACTGTCTCCTTTCCACCACGTGTTTCTCGAGAGCTTCCCGAGTTTGGGAAACGGGCCCTCTCATCTCCCGTTGGCGGGAAGATACACTTAGCGACACATGGGTTCAAGGATGGGGTATCGCAGCCTCGTTTGTGACAGCAAAAGGGATGGTAACCACGGCCATCACGGAGGATGCTGGGAGGACATCTATGGAGGATGCCTGGATCCTGCCTCTCGCTCTGGGCGGAATCGTGTGCCCCAAATCCCTGCGTGGAAACCCCGCCCCCTGACTGTCATGGTACTGAAGGTGGAGACTTTGGAGGGCGGCTCTCACGATGGGATTCATGTCTTCATAACATGGAACACCGGAGAGCTTCTCTCTCTCTCTCTCTCTCTCTCTCTCTCTCTCTCTCTCTGTAAGTACAAGCCAGCTAGCCGGGCAGGGGGGCCGCCATCTACGAGCCAGGCAAATGTCCTCCCCAGAACCTGGGCGTGCTGGCACCCTACTCGAGGCTTCTCAGCCTCCACAACTGTGAGAACATAAGTTCACGTTGTTTAAGGCAGGGGGGAGGGGGAGGGGGAGGGAAGGGGAGGGGAGGGAAGGAAGAAAAAACATGCTGCTGTCCCCAGAGAATGGAATATTTGTGAGCATTAAAAAAGAATGGTCAGGGGGTGCCTGGGTGGCTCAATCGATTAAGCCTCCGACCTCAGCTCAGGTCAATGATCTCGCAGTCCGTGAGTTCGAGTCCTACGTCAGGCTCTGTGCTGACAGCTCAGAGCCCGGAGCCTGTTTCAGATTCTGTGTCCCCCTCTCTCTCTACCCCTCTCCCGCTTGTGCTCTGTCTCTGTCTCTCTCTCTCAAAACATAGACATTAAAAAAGAAAAGAATGCTCAGGTAGATGCTGATATGGAAACATGTCCACAATATACTGTGGAGTGAAGAAGTCAGTTGTGGAATAGTGTGTGTGGCCAAATCCTATTTAAAAAAAAAAAAAAAAAAACAGTAGAAAAGAAAGAAATGCATGTGTGTATATCTTCATATGCAATTCTAAATGCCCGGAAAGAGACTAGAAGGTTAGCCAGCTGACTATCAAAACCTGATATGCACCTCTGCCGGCTGGGGAGGGGGAGGGGGCTGTATTAGCCTCCTGGGGCTGCCATAAATAAATACCACTGATTTGGCG